GAATTGAAAGCACACTTTCTCAAATGGACCATTATATTCATCACTTTTGTCACTTCTGGCAACCTTAATTCTCTTGCCAAGTTAGTTCTCAATCTCAACTTTGTATTGCTTGAAAGCCTCTAAGGCTTCATTTTTTACTTCTCAGTAAGTAAACATAATAATATCACATGCTATCATCAACAAAAATAATGAAATACTTTTTACCTCCTCTTGTTTGAACATATTTCAGATCACAAATATCTATATGAATCAAACTCAAAGGTTCAGTACTTCTCTCTACCTTAGTGAATGATGTCTTAGTAAATTTTGCCTCAGCGCAAACTTCACAATTGTCCTAACAATTTTGTCTCACAGACAATTGCAAAAAGACTGATGTTTACCAACCTATCTAAAAGGTTGTTAACTTTGGTCACACATGATTGTGCAGGTTTCTTGCTAGAACTTCTATTGTCCTTGCGCTGATGGCAATTCATCGCTCGATGTCCATCTTTATCGTACACAAAACACTTGCCTTTAAACCTTTTGTTGTTCAACTCTTGGAAGCCCTGCTTGGGACTCTTCCCAGCATACTTCATCTTTCTGTTATTGGATTTAGAACATTGTCCTTATTGCATGATGTGATTGCCTACCTTCTTGTCAGAATTGCAGTTCTCTTTCTCAATAAAGAGCCGCACTATCAATTCCTCCAGTTTATCTTCTTGCGCTTATACTTAAGATGATTCTTAAAATCCTTCCATGTCGGTGGCAACTTCTCAATAATTGTCACAACTTGAAAGGGTTCACTAAGAATCATTCTTTCAGCATGAATCTCATAGAGAATTAACTGAAAGTCTTGCACTTGACTAATAACAGTCTTGGAATCATCCATGTTATAATCTAAAAAACATCCGATTACTAATTTCTTTGCGCTAGTGTTTTTTCTCTTATATTTTAGTTCTAAAGATTCCCACACTTCTCTAGTAGTCTCCTGCACGCAATACACATTATAAAGTGTGTTTGCGAGACTATTGAAAATATTATTCTAACATAGGAAGTCTACATGCTTTTTAGGCTTCTACTTTAGTCACAATTTGCCAATCAGTTTCTCTATCTCTTAGTACCGGTACAGTTTCTTGGGAATCTCAAACCAGAATTAAAGTAGTAAGATAAAATAACAATTTTTGTTGTCATATTTAAAATCAATTCTCTCAATTTTTTTTTGGTTTTTTTCTTCCATTTCTCCATGATTGACCAATACTGACGGAGTTACTGTTGGCATCACAATTGTTGGGACAATAACAAGGGTAGGACGACTCTCAACACTCTCCTTTTTGGTTATCATAATTTTAAACATTATAACACAACATAATAGCACATTTTGCAAATAATGAAAAAACTATATTTCAAAAAAGAAATAATTTTTCCAGTCTATTATACTACTGGTGGTGGTGGTAGCTGTGACGGGCATGGTGGTGGTGGTAGCGGCAACAATAGCAATGGTAGTGGTGATAATGATAAAAGGTAGTGGTTGTGATAGAATGATGTTGGTGGTGATGGTGGCAGCAACGGTAACGATGGTAGTAGCAGCGATAGTGATAGTGCTAGTAGTGGCAATGGCATGATGATTGTGGTAGTGGTAGTGGTGGTGGCGACAGCGACGGTGGTGATGGTAGCATAGTGGTGGTGGTAACGGTAGCGATGGTGGGGGTGGTAGTAGTAGCGGTAATGGTGGCGGTGGCGGTGTTAGTAGTGAGTCTAAAATAGTGTATACTGATACTTATATTTAGTATTTATAAATTCAGCCAAAATTAAGTGAGTTTCATATGACTTAAATTTTTTGAAACTTTTAACGTACATTTTAAGAGGCACTTAAATTTTTAAATGATGTCAATTGTGATTATCAAACACACTTAATTGATTATCACTTAATATACTCAATTTTAAGTATTGAATCATGTTATCAAACATCCCTTCATTGTCGATCTTGAACTCTCGCCTCTCGTCATCACTTCAAATTAGTCGTGTTCATAAATATAGAGTTGAACAAATTTAATGTGCTCAAAAATTTATATCTAAACACTGAATAAAAGCTTAATTTATTTTAACCAAACTAATTTAGAATGTTTAATTTTTTATGTATGAACATTTAATATTGGGTCAATCTTAATAATTTGAACAAAATTAGTTTGTTCAAATATAAATAATCGAACATTGCATAAAAGTTCAACTCTGAATATCCAAACACAATGAACAAACTCATCTTCCCAACATATGAGTGAGATAAATAAAAAACCAAAAAAATGAAATCATAAACTAACATTTTCAATGTTCAAATCAATGTTTTCAATATTTATATCAGAACCAACCATCTCAGTGTTATCCATAGTATGCAAATATTCAAAACTAATTGATTTCAATATTCTTAAAACTTAAATCTTCAAAGGTAATAATGTTTTGAGTTTGAAAAATCAGTATAATGGAGAAAAAAATAAAGTGAGCTAATTGATAATGAATGACATCATAAGTGTATGTCAATGTTGAAGATGATAAAGAAATACAATGTTTATATGTCAAAATCCTAAACCTCATAAGAATGATGGTGTGTGAAGAGTATTTTGTGTTTTTAAATAGAACTTTTTTGAATGGATAGAATACACCTCATATTGTTCTTCATGGTCATTTCATTATATGATATTATTGAAATATAAATATAATCTATTAATGGTATGTACTAAGAGTATTAATGATATATAAATATAATCAACTTTAAATTTTGGAAAATGTTAGGGATACCAAATAAATGACCAAATATCTCACATAGGTCATGTTGTCCTTAATGGTCATTTCATTAGAAGTTATTATAGAAATATAAATTTAATCTATTAATGGTACGTACGGAGAGCATTAATGATATATAAATAGAATCAACTTTAAATTTTGAAAAATGCTATAGGCCTCAAATTGTTTCCCAAATAAATGATCAAATGTAATGTGTCACATTTGGTCATTTATTTGATAAAAAATTACCCTAATATTATGCTTCAATTTTTGGTTCGAGTGGCCTCTATATACCACCCGGATTGGTGGCCTAGTGGTAAAGGCATTGCCTACCCACAGCAATGAGTCAAGCTCGACTCCTGAGGGGTGAGAAATATTAGATTTTTCAGTGGCTCTTTTTTGAGACCTCGCGATGTATTCTGATTGAACCTTAGCCCTGCTGAGGGATGGTTGGGGGATGGTTGATGAGCTCCACTGGTACATCGGTGGTAGATCCCTTCCAATGGATTGAGTTAAATCAAGTCGAAAACTGGTTACTTCAAATCTTGAAATTGCAGATGCCTTCAGATCGAACCTTGGCCCTGCTAAGGGATGGTTGGGGGATGGTTGATGAGCTCCACTGGTACCTCGGTGGTAGATCCCTTCCTATGGATTGAGTTAAATCAAGTCGAAATCTTGAAATTGCAGATACCGTGATGACACTTCAGGACATTTTCTTTTCTTTTTTTATAGAAACAAAAAAAAAGAAAAAAAGAAAAAAAGAAAGTGGTTACATAGCAATTGTGTCAACCTGTCACCATTAAACCACGATAAATCAAAAAGTAATAATAATAAACTAATCGACAGATCGCATTCTTTCTTTCTCTTATGAACGTCTTTATATTTGGGAGAAATGAATTAGAGAAGTAGAGAGAGAATATGGAGTTAATGAGGAGGATTCAAAGATGATTCAAATATCAAGAACGTCAAGCTCTAATCGTTCTAGGTAAATATATATTAGTTGCATATTTCTTGTGGAGCTTATACTATACTTCAATACTATAGCAACTAGTTTCATCACATACTCTTTTTTATTTTTTAAATTTGCGTTTCATTTTAAGGTTCTGATATAAATATCATTGGCAACTGCAACTACTAGCATATTATAATTTACAAGAGCGGTCTGCTCTATTTGCTGTAAATTCATAAAAATAAAAAAAAAAGAAGCTCCATCATACTATAGTAATACTTTCTAAAGAGTCATAATTTAAATCCAGTAATTTGTTGCCTTTCCAAGTCCACCAAATAGACCACATCCATAAAGCCCCAACACATTTGAATCATCTTATCTTATCTTAGTTAATAAGTAATATGGTAAATTACAAATATCCCTTTAAAGTTTGTTTAAAATATAAATTAATTTTAAAAATTATAAATATCTCATTATTAGAATTTTTTATTTAAAATAATTAACTAAAAAAAATTTCTAACTATTTTTTTATATAATAATAAAATTTCCTAAATTATTAAATGAAATAAATTTTGACATCATTAAAAACTATTAATTGAATTGATGATTTATTAATAAAAAGATCTATTTGTTATGAAATTAAAAAATTTAATAAATAAAATCTAATTTCTATAACTACATAAAATAATTTATATTTTAAGTAAATTTTTAAAAATATATATATAATTTACCTTAAATAATAAGAGGTAATAAGAGAATACAACTTCATCCACCACTAACATGTCATTAATTCAAGCAATTGCAGACTAGGTCCAAGAAGGAAGAAAACATACCTAAAGTATGGACACTTTTTCCTCTAGTATGAATTATTTATTTATTTTTTTAAGGCATTAAGTTCTTTCTCATATCTTTTTAGGCGGAGTGCTCGACTTAAGTTGTTAAAAAAATATAAAATCAAATTGTTCAATCACGCTTTAAATTTTCAAAAACTTCTAGAGAGGGGTTACCTATTTTTCACCTAAATTTCAAAATTACCCTTCTTATTCTTTGTTAGAACACCTTATTCCTTTTCCATTTTTATTTCATTTTTTTGAACTAGTTATTCCTATTCCTAACTAATTCCACACAATTACAAAATCAAGCAAGCCACCAAATTCCCATCTTATTCTAACAAACCCATCAACACTGAATCCAAGACCCGACCTGCAACTCGCAGTCCCCTCTTTCTTTCAACCACCGCCAATGCCATAGCTCGTCGCCACCCCTGCAGTTCCCTGAACTCAACCGTTCAGATATGGTGGGTTTCAGACAACGATGGGCAAAGGAGGTGGGGCTTCAGATGACGATACAAGGGGTTGATTTTAGTGGTGATGGGTGGGCCAGTTTTGGTAGTGATTTGTTGTTGGATTTGGATGATGGTGGTGGTTGGGTATTTTGGTGGTGGTGGTGGTGGCAGTGGATTGCCAGAGTGAAGGGAGATGATAATTGTTGTGGTGGCGGTACTGTGGTTTGGCGGGCGGTGTAATTGTGGTGGGAAGGCAGGTGATGGGGGGTGAGTCTTGTGGCGCTGTGATGGTGTGTGGGGGTCAGACCGTGGCGGGGTGTGGAGAGATGGGGAAAAAGTGGTTGATGATGGTGGTGTATGTCAAATTACTCAAATGTAGTTTTGCCAATTATCAATTATCAAGGAAGGTCCGTGTAATTTATTCAAAACTATTTTATATGTTTCTCAAATTATGCTATAAAAGTAAATTTGATAATAACTTCCCTAGATTTTTCTATGTTGGTTTTAACCTTGAAAAGGGAAATTATGCCAATTCACTACTTTGTCAATGTAGTCACATTGAATTGAATGTTTAACACTTCATGTTATTATAAAATAAGATATGAATCTTTGTGCTAAAAACCAAAATATCTATATTGCAGGTCTGATTTACAGCAACAGTATGGCCGTGTATGTCTTGACTAACTTGGTGACCTTCTTGACTCACATTTGGAAGTTAAAGCTCAAGCATGCTGTTGCAATCATGAACATTAAAGCAGGAGCGGCAGGTATCATGGGGTTAGTGGAGGCCGCTCTTATAGATGCATATTTTGGGCACGCTAGGATGTTGCTCATCACAAGTGCTCTTTACAGCATTGTAAGTCACCGAAATTCTACACAGCCCTTTCATTTGTGGCATAGCATTGCTAATTTGCTAGTAGTAGTAGTGAAGATATCGATAAACTACTCTGTTCTGACTGGGAATCGACAACCAAAACTAAGCTAGGCTACTTGTGCATTTACTGAGGTTGATAGGTAGGAATTGGGTCTTTCCTTGCATTTTTCATAGGGAAATATACTTCTTAATTGATTCTCACTGATAGAATAAAACAACTCATAATTTAGCCTTTCTAGAAGCCCTTCGAACATTTTCACTTGCTTTCTCAGATAAATTTAGTCATGGTCTTTGGTGTACATCTAAGTGCGAAGTCAAAGCTCTTACATCAGACCAGATTCAAATAAAAAATAAAAATTGGAGCATTAATGAATGAAATTTAATATTTCATGGCTTTTCAATTGGTGTATTTATATAAATGATGCATGTACACAAGAACCCTTTCTTACTTAAATACTTTGAATATGCCAATGAATCAAATTTAACTCAAGAATTCAAATCTTGGAACAATACTATGTAAACCTAACTTTCTTAATTTTTTGATCCAAAATGCAATTAAATCTTTGATCAAACACCTTGACCATTTCTTCAAACTATGTTAACCACTAACCTAGGGTGGCCAACCCATCCACGGTGATTCTTTAGTTGGAAACCACTCAAATCTAGCATCAAAATTAGAGTCGAGATGCATACACACTTATCTTACATCAAAGCTGGTCCAAATTAATTTAAAATATTTTTCAAATTTGTCTCTCACTAATGAATAGAAGACGATTTGATGCAGGGATTGGGGTTGCTAGTAATGTCAGTTCCTGATCGGTTCTTTTCCAATGGTGTAAAGTCATGTCCAGCAGGGGAGAAATTATGCTCTTCAACGCTAACTGCTTCACCATTCTATTGGGGATTAGCTTTGATTGTTCTTGCCAAGGCTAGTCAAGGAATATGTTTGAGAGCCCTCACCTTTGGTAAAATAAAATTCAAAAGAGACCCACCCAAAATGAAGGAAATCAAATTTGGTTTCTTGAAGTTTGAAGTTCCCCAAAGAAAGATTCAAGACAAAAGGAAACATCAGAAGAATATTATTCGAAATACCTGCAACATAGTTGGAACTGCAGGTGGCATCACATGGGTTTTTGTATCGTCAATTTTTGCTCCTGATTGGTCTCATCGATTTTTGATATCTGCATGTGTAATGGCAATTGGGATCGCTATATTTTTTATTGGATACGCATTCCTTTCCCCCCCTCAACTGCGATCAAGTCCCCTTACAAACATGTTGCAGGTCCTTCTGGCTGCATTCTTAAAGGGGCACCTTGACTCTACTGAGCAGGGTACAGAATTGAACTATGGGGATGAAGATCAGACACCTCAAGGTCAAGGTCGCAACCAGAAGACACCTCGAGGTCCCAAGAAAAGAATGACGCTCACTGATCACTGTTGGTGAGTACACAGTGATCATAAAGTTTGTGTATATATTTTTATGTTACCTTTATAGAAATTTAAAAACTATAAACCAAAACTTGGTTGGCATCTGTTGTTGTTTCAAAAAATACTAAAACATTTTACAAAATGTATAAATTATGATAGCATTATATTTGAAATAATGATGGAAATGGTATTGATGTAAAATTTGTGTAGTTATTAACATCTTTTACACTTGTGCAGGAGGCTTAATAATGCTGCAATAAATGTGCCACGCAATTTCCACTGCTTTCCCATTGGATGGATTAATTGCATAGTGGATGAGGTTGAGGAGACAAAGCTTCTGTTAAGAATGGTTCCAATCTCAACTACCTTTCTTTTGTATGGGGTGATCAAATCCAACAGTAATACCTTTTTCACTCCGCAACGATATGCAATGAACAGGTCATTTCGTTTTGTATTACGAAAAAAGCAGCATCAAATTTAACTCCCCATTCAAATTTTCCGTCTTATGGCAGGATTCGCAACATCTGCAGTGAAACCTTTGTATAGGATAGTATTTGAACAACGAATAGAGTGAATGAATGGGAGATACTCATCTGGAATGAAGAATGCTTGCCGCTTTGGCTTGTTGTAAAGTTGCTTGGTTGGTGGAGTATATAAGGCTAAAATCTTTGAAAGAACACGGCTTGTTAGGTAATCCAGATGCTATTGCACCAATATCTGTATTTTGGCTCTCTCCACAGTTTGTACTGATGGGAATCATGGATGGATTAGCTCGTGATGGTATGGAGGATTTCTTCAGGTGTCAGGTTCCAAAGTCAATGAGGAAGAGATATGCACTCGTACTCACTGAAGCTGTGATCGGATTTGGAAAATTACTGAACATATGGTTTATTATGATGTTAGACGTGGTGGTCGAGAAGTTGAGAGTTGAAGATGGAAGTTGGATTGCAGACATTGTGAATCAGAGCCGTTTGGATCTTTTTTACGCTTCATTAGTGGTGGTGAGCATAGCCAATCTATTTATCTTTGCATGTGTTGCTAGTTTCTACACTTACCGTGATTTTCCAGAAGAGGAAGACGACGAAGAAGAAGATCCACATGAAGAAATTAAAACTGGAAAGAAGCAAGACAAGGTGGAACCAACACCTGATGAAGAAACTAAACCAACACCTGATGAAGAAACTGAAAGAACAATAAGAACCACCTGATGTTGAAGAAAACTTGAAGAGAACAGTAGTGGTAGAGTTGGTCCAAGCAGCAATTTGATTTCTTGTGAATGTTCTTTTGAGTTGTTTAGGTTATTGATTCTTTTGGCTAATTAATTGTAGGATTATATTATACAAATTTGTGAGCACTTTATATAAGATTTCATGTAAAGACTTGAAATTTATTCTTGTATTATTATCATTATTACTATGTTGATGAATATGATGTTTGATTAATTGTGTATAGATGTGGTATTTATTTATTTCAAGTCTTCAATATCTCTCTAAATAAATTACGTGTTAATTTTTATTTTTTTTAAATTACAAATTTAATCATGTAAAGTTTAAAATTTATCATGTCATTTGAGAATTGAAATTATAAATTTTAGGTATTCCTGTTCTTGACTCAAATTATTCAAGATATAAGTTGATGAAACAAACTTGGGAGTATTTTCAAAGCCCATACAATTTTAATTCGTATTTTCAAAAACTCAAAGCAGTTTAAAATTAATTTTTCATATTCAAAATTGTTTTGTGAAGTTTTAAGAGGAATATCAAAACCCTAGTACACACACCATGACAAGCACAACACCACTATCCATGGCGGTCGAAAGCGATTCGAATCATGGAGAACTCGAGGAGAGGATCGAGAAGACCCAGAAAAGCGCAGTGGCAGCCGGAAGACGAGATACTCTCGAGACTGCCCGTTAAGTCTCTGCTGCAATTCAGGTGCGTTTACAAATCATGGCGTTCTTCGATTTCAAGTCCCCATCTCGGTATGTCATCTAGGACCGACGATGATGATTATATACAGCAGAGACTGAACCTGATGAATGATGAAGAAACCGCCGTTGAGCTTGATTGTCTACCGATGACTACAAGGCTATCAGGATCTTTAGAGAGTGGGGTCGGGGTGGTGGTTTATTCATTGAGGAGGAATTTGTGGAGGAGGATCGGAGACTTTCCTTGTGGTATTCCTCCGCATCCATTTATTTCAGGATAATTTGCAAATCAGGCTATCCATTGGGTCACCCATGTTGATACGGAATCGAGTTACTCTTCTTGGGTAATTGTTTCTCCTGATTTGGAGAAGGAAACGTATGGAGCAATTGTGCCACTTGAACCTGATTATGGGGTTTGTGTTGTTGATCTGACATTGTGTGTTTTAAAAGGCAACAATGATTCATCCCCCCTTTTCCCCCCACCCCCTTTGACCCCCTCTCTCTCTCATTGGTTACTTTTTCTTTTTCTCTTTCCTTTTTTTCCTGCTCCCCCAATCACCACCTGCCACGTGACAAAGGGGGGGTGAGGGGGTGACCTCCAAAAGGGGGTCCCAAGCATTATTCTTTAAAAGGATGCCTCCATGTGCTTTGCAACTTCTACGAGAATGCGAGAGAGAACCTTGGACTAAGTTGTTCCAACTCCGCTACTAGCTCAGTGTGTAGCTCGAGAGTGGCCCGAATTTGGTTTTTTTTCTGCTGTGGGCGTGTGCTTGAATGAAGTCCCACACCCAAACATTTCATTTGGAAAACAATAAAAAAAGAAAAAGAAAAACAACAATAGAGATTAAAGAGAGAGAAGCATGTATCGTTCGTAACCTAGCGGCACAGTGAGAGGAGCGATCTGGGTCCTGTTGCTGCCGTGGGTGCTGCAAGCTGCTGCTGTTGTGTCGTCCATAGTGGAAGAAGAGGAGTCTTCACTGTTTGAGTTGCAGAAATTGGTATTTTGTTTCCCCTTGTGTGATTTGCTCTTCATTTGCTCTGTCAAGACAAGAAATCAACACTGTTTTGGGTTGAATCTTTAATACCGAATTTTGACTTCTAAAATACAGAATTTCTGTCAATACAGAATTTCTAAATACTGTCAATACAGAATTTTATATTTTACACTGTTTTGGTACTAATTTGACAGAAATTCGGTACTAATTTGAATCTTAAATACAGAAGTTCTAAATACAGAATTTTGATTTCTAAAATACATATATGGGTATATATGTCATGGCAAAAGGATTAGTTGTTACAGATTTTGTCATTAATGGACACAAGTAATTCAAGAATTCTTTAACAATGACAAATTCTGTTCAATGACAAATTCATAAAGTGTCTCCCATGTCCCTTTGTCATTCTTTCCCCAACTTTTGTCAATGTTTTGCATATCTCAAATAGCTTTAATGAATTAGTTGTTACTTTGTTACAATATGATAATTGTTTTTACTAGAAAAGACCAAATTTGAACTGTTCTTCATAAAATACTTGAACTATTGGTATAAATTGGGCACTGGGCGCTGCACTATTGGTATAAATTTTGGTGGTATAAATAGAATTTTTGCCTAACATTGGTGGTATAAAAGCTACCCCTTCATCATATATACTCTCATGTTTGTAACAATTTGAGGACATAACTCTAAAATTGTCCACTAACTGTATGTCTTGACCTCCAAATTATTGTTCTTGTTTGCTTTCTTGTAATGTTGATTGTTGTATGATAAGAATGTTGGAGGCCATCAATGTTTTGTCCACTAACTCTAAAATTTTGTATTCTATTTCACTTTGAAGCTAGAATGGATATTGAATTTTAGTTAACAAGCTCTGTATGATCTGAAATTTGTTGGTTTTGTTGTTAATTTAGGATTTCACATTGTGTGATTAAGAATTAGTGTTTTGATTTGATTAACTCTTTCTGTTTGCTTAGAAAAAAAAAATGAACAAGTATTGAGTATTGTTTAAAGTTGTTCACCTTTTAATTGAAGGGATGAAGAATTGTGGCTATTTGATCATGTCTGTGCTTAGAAGCACTATTTTTTTTTTTAATCTTATAATGAAGAATTGTGGCTATTTGATCATTTACCCCAAAAAAATTAACAAGTTGTTTATCTTATAAAATCCACTGTAGGAGGGGGTCCCAGGCCATCAATTGTGCCTATTTGATCATGTCTGTGCTTAGAAATAGTGATGTAAAGATAAACAACTTTGAACAAAGTTTTTTTTTAGTTTGAATGTCTATGTAAAGTTTTTTTTTTTCCAGTTTGAACAGTCATCCCAGGCCATCCATGTAGAGTTTGTTTTGTTTTTGTAAAGATAAACAACTTTGAACAAAGTTTTTTTTAGTTTGAATGTCTATGTAAAGTTTTTTTTTCCAGTTTGAACAGTCATCCCAGGCCATCCATGTAGAGTATGTTTTGTTTTGTTTTGTTTTTTTTTCAGTTTGAAGAATTAGAGAAAAACTGTTAAAGAAAAAACTGTTAAACATAAATTGAGTTTATCTCTGAACATTTAAATTGTTAAAGTTAAATTAAGTTTGTCTCTAAACTGTTAAACTTAAATTGTAAAATTAAAGAAAAGCTGTTAAACTTAAATTGAGTTTCTTTGTGTTGTTATTGTTGTTTTCAAGAATTAGTAATTGTACTGTTAAATTGAATTTGAGTTTATCTCTGAATGTCTATTCTATTTTACTTTGAAGCTACAATGGATATTAATTCAAACAATAATTCATTCAATGTGAGTGAGAAAGTTGAACAACAGGATAACAATCTTGAATTTAATGAGAGTGGTGAAGTTGAAGGACCGAAGAAGGGGATGTATTTTAAGTGGTTAATCCCAAGATGAATGGTGATGTCTGATTTTTGATTGAAAACCTGAAATCTTGAATTAATTGAAATTATATGACAATATATACATTATGTAGTATTAAAATGATTTTACAAATCATTTGGAGCCCTATTGACTACATGAGGTGTTAAGAGTTGAACTTTTTGAGGGTAAAAAAAAACCAAATTGAATATCCAAAATTGAAGCCCTATGTATGAACCCTTCTTTCTCTAAGCTCTATCTTTGCTTTAGGTTGCAATTATTGCAATTGTTACTTATTTAAATCCAAATTGAATATAATTTTTTTCAGATTACCAGGATTGCAAAGGAGAACAATTGTGCTTCAAGAACAACCCCAGATTCAGAGAGCAAGAGAAAGAAGGTTGCTAACATGTCTTGTGATTTCTTAGGTTCTGTTTTGTTGGTGGATCATTAGTGGTGCTGACGAGTGACACTGAAAATGAGAAATGGAATTAGAAATTGATGTGAATTGAGCAAATGTATGGGGTTTTGGGGAAATGAAAGGGACTGAAGCTATGTTTTGTAATGGGGGTGAAGTAGCACATTGTAATGGGGGTGAAACTTAGTTTTGTAATGTTATGTTGTTTTGTGAAATGAGAATGAACCTGTGTATTGTATATTTATGTTGTTATGTGAATTGAAAATGAATATGTTTTTTGTGATGTTTATTATGCTAAGTGAATTGAATATTAACTTTTTTTTTTTTCTTTGTTTTTTTTGGGTGATGTTTTGGTTGAAATGTGGAATGAAAAGCAAAAGTAATCAATTAAACACAAAATATTTTCTAATGTAATGAAAACAAACAGGTAATTTGTAAAGTTATGTGACATGAAAATGAACATGTATTGACAACTAAACACTAACTGAATTAAACAAATTCATCATAGATAAACCATTGGCAATGACAAAAAAAATAGTAAGAATATAAACTAACATTCAATTGATCATATAAAATAGCAGCAGCAACGGTCCACAAAACAAAATCCCACAAAAGCAATTGTCTTTCTCTATTACCCTTGATACACAAACAAAACAAAAGAAAAGAAAAATTCTTGGGCTGCTACCCTTGGTTGATTGGAATATGGTGAGTGGGCACTAGCCTACTATCCCTACTTGACTGATTGGAATTTGGGTGAATTGGCACGGCCTTGCTTGATGGAGTAGGCTTTTGCCTTGGCATTGGCATGCTAGATGTGCTTGACTGAGTGCACTTGGCCTTCTAACCTGCATGTTCAAACCAAGGGTATTCATTATTCCATTGTAAACTTTTATTGTGAAATACTAGAACTGAATTTAGATTTCAAAATTCCTTAGGATTTCAGATCCTTTAACAAACTATAACTAAATTTACTAATGACCAAACCTTTGAATTACTAAATAGCATGCACAAAATTA